GTTATACTGTAGGAACAGCAGCAAAACAAGATTCAACCTCAACTTAACACAGTCTTTAAATGATAAGGATGATTATCTTTCATTCTTAACTGTTTTGCAAAGGAATAGAGAAAAAGTAAGCCTTTCCTGGATGAAGATAACATAATTCTGAGCCTCTATAATTTTTCATATTCAATGTGTGTCATTCTATTAAAAATTACCATGAAAGCCAAGAGCCAGGGGGAATGCTAGTAGGGAAAAGACCAAAACCAATGGAAAGAATACATAATTGAAACAGATCCACAGAATATCCAGCTACTGTAATGACCAGCAAGAGTTTTAAATAACTCTGATTCATATGTTCAGGAAAACAGAAGCTAACGTGGAGAAAATACATAAGAAGGAGAATTTATCCAAATAAATTGGATTTTGTTTTTAAAAAATCATCTGAAAATTGTGGGACTTAAAAATACAAAGACCAAAATTAAGAACTCAATGAATGGGTTTAAGAGCTGACAGGAGGGTAGAAAATATAAGACTCATGTACAAAAGGAGAGAGAGTAAAAAGATAGGGAATAGAGATGGTATGCAGTAAAAATATCTGACTACATATAACTTAAGTTAAAAAGTAAAGGAGATAAGAAGAGATAGTATCCAAAAATAGATAAAGGATATCAAGTCATAAATTTGAGGGATTCTATGAATGGCACCTATCCCACTCACGAACCCATGTGGAATGCATACCAAGAAAAGTACATCTAGGCACATGATAGTAAAACTGTTAAAAACTAAAGACAAACATACAAACAAAAAAACCTGAAAGGAGTCAGAATGAAATATTATTATCCTTCAATATATGTGATAATTATTTTCAGAATTCCTTCACAGATAACAAAATCCACTTGTGTAAGTCCCTTATGTTAAACAGTTTTACTTGCATATAACCCACGCATGTCTTGCTATATATTTCAAAACCATTTCTAGATTACTTATAATAATACCTAATACAATGTAAATATTATATAAGTAGTTATTATACTGTATCATTTAGAGGATAATAATAATAAAAAAGTCTGGGTATGTTAGCACATAAACATCCCCACTTCTCCCCAGTATTTTTTGTCCATGTTTGATCAAATCCATGGTTGAAGATCCTGTGGAATCTGGCTATGCAGGGTCAATGGTAGTTTCAAAGGATTAAAAAGGAATGATAGAACCAAAAGGTAATGAAAGAATCCCTTTAAAGTACTGAAACAAAACAAAACAAAAAAACCAAACCAAACCAAAACAAAACAACTTGCCAAGCTAGAATTCAGCAAAAACATAAAGAATCATATAACATTTCTAAGGGAACAAAGAAGACCTGCTGAAAACAGAGGAATTATTTCAAATGGAAGGAAAATATTCCCTAAAGAAGCACAGAAATACATATTGGAAGAGCAATATAAAAGGCATATATGTTGGTAAATATAAATGAGTATTGGCTGTATAGACCAATGTAGTAATTATAAAATCCTGTATGAATTAAAATACATGCACAATAAAAATCTGTGAAAACAACACAAAAGGGGGAGGGGCAAGCAGATGTAAAATAACAACTCTAAAAGAAATAAGAAAATTGTTTATTCTGAGTCAAAATTACTCTGAAAGACATGTTCCATTGTGGAAAAGGTTACATAAACTTGTAATTACAGAACAAAAGAAAGTCCTAAACCAATACATTTTAACAATTACATTGGTGGGAGCATCACTTAGGTGGGCTACAGCAAAGCCAGGAAATCTCTTCTCTAGGTTTTAGATGTTACCTTATAGCATTCTTAGCTTTAGGGTTGGTTGAAGGCTACAGGTCTGTGAAGCCTAGTGATACATTCCAAGAAGTTTATTTGTTAAGAATGTTAGGTCAGATATGAAAGTTAAAGTAATTGATTATTAAAGGGCTTAAGATAGTCCAAGAGAATTTTGGCTCTGTACTTACAACATTTTATCTCTCTAGAATCATGAGATCTAGTCAACCAAGGTAAAGCAGTTTGAAGAATCTTTAATGTAGCTACTTCGAAGAAGGAAAAGTATTCTGAAGGTCTTAGTAGTCCAGGGGAATTGGTAAAAGCAATAACTTACATTGCAGTGTAAGAAGTCAAAAAGGAATGTTGTAATTTCAAAAACTAGTAAAAGAACATCTAAGCTAATAGGGAAGGTTAATGGTATTTTAATCAAAAAAAGGCAAGATAGAGATGGGATAAGAAATGTATAAGGGGGCTGGAATTGTGGCTCAGCAGTAGACTGCTTGTCTAGCACGTACGAGGCCCTGGGTTCGATCCTCAGCACCACATAAAAATAAAATAAAGATATTGTGTCTAACTACAACTAAAATATTAAAAAAAAAAGAAATGTGTAAGATGGTAGGCATAAATCTAAATATACCAGTAATTATATTAAATATAATTAGACTAAAAATCTTCCTTTGCAACCAGGATATCACAGTGTTCAAATTTCAGGTAGACCTAGACTCTGCAAAAAACATAATTATTAAATACAGCACCAAATCATGGATTCTTAGAGCAAAATATTGAAGAGGCCTGGGCTTTGGTTCACCAATCCTAAAGCTAAGAATTCTATAAGGTAACATCCAAACAACCTTTAGCTGCTGGTCATATAAGGTTGATTTGTCTCAAACAAAAGAGAGCTAAAAATTGGGCTAGGCAAAACTGTCCTTTTAAAGCTGCAGATTTTTTAAAAATTATTTTCTTTTAGTTGTAGATGGACATAATACCTTTATTTTATTTTTATATGGTGCTGAGGATCAAACCCAGTGCCTTCCACATGCAAGACAAGCACTCTACCACTAAGCTACAACCCCAGCTCTGCAGATTGTTTTGCAAAAGACAAGGACTTTAATCCTCTTTGTTTTATTTTGAGAAGACCTCTAGAATGTGCCTTTAAGTTATGTATATATAAAAGGAGACTTAATGGAAGCAGTTTGGAAAGCTCAAATGTGCTTTGTTGTTGCAAACTGTTCCAAATCCTTGCTACTGTGTGCTTAAGTGCCAGTTTGATTTCCCCCTACCCCCCCCTCAGGGATGGCTATGGCTAGTTTTCTTCTGAAGTATACAAAACTAAAGACTACTCATCTTTGTATCATTTTTTTTTTCTTCAGAAAACCATACACTCTAATCTCACATGAGGAACTCAATTTCTTTCCATTAATACAATTTTATCCATTCTGTTGGGGCAATAGGAAACTTGCCTGTTCTCTTAAGAACTTGTCTTTTTATCCTGGATATGTTTTCATTACAAATGGGCCCCATTTTACCTGAGAATGTGTTTGATGTATCCTGAATGGAAGATATCCTCTCTAATAGAGTATCTTGTATCTCCAGATTTCTCTCCTAATTTGGAGATGGGGTTTGGAAATAGGTGATGAACCACATTCTGCAAACTTTACCACACCACTTCTGTTATCAATGTGGGTCAGGATGTTGAGTAGGCTGGCCATCATCTGAAGAAAAAAAAGTTTTTATGGTTTTTTTTCTATTATTGAATGACTTCCATAGTCTATGGTACAGAATAATCAGGCTAAGGATTAGAATGGAGAAGGGCTATGGAGAAAGGGAAGTATGGGTTGGGGTATTATAAGAAGTGAGGACATGAGGTCAGGTGGAAACTTTCTCTTTAGTGGCTTAAAAAAATTAATTCACCAAAAGCACAGTTTCTGAGTCCATCATGCTAGAGACGGGGATGCAAAGAGGCAACACAGAAGAACATTTATCTAGAAATATGTTCATAAACTATAGAGACCACACATTCAGTGTAAAATGAACCAAGCAAATGATCAACACTAAAAAAAAGTTCAGAAAAGGAAGTAAACATCAAAGTTAAAGCAAAAATAAAATGAGGAGATGGTGAGGAGGGGGAGCAGATAAAGGTCGAGTAGCGGAATACACTTCCACATAAAACTACTAAGCATTTACTATGTCTTTTCTTTTACTATTGACTTCCTTTTCAGTGAATACGGATTTTTAAAGAAAAAATATCTGCCTCATCTCTGTCTCCGAGTTTCAAGTAGATGAGAGACAAGTCAAAGAAACATAAATGCAGCCAAGTAGAGGACACAGAGGCCATGAAAAATTGTCACTTTGTGGTTTGATAATCAATGCAGACAAGAGCAATTCTGCACAGGGCATGAATAGAAGCTGGGTTTTTGAATGAGACAGGTCTAGGCTCCACATTTAGGTGTGTGTGGCGTACTCGTTGTGTGACCTTGTTTAAGTCACAAGAACCATGTCTCAGTTTCCTAAGAAAACAATTCTAGTAAGGTCCACCAACTTCCTCTGCTGTCGTGGGAAGGACAAGTGCAGTCACTGTAGTATAGTGACACGGGTGTCTAAGTTTCTACCCCTTCTCAGCGCACATATCCTTTCCTCCATTAGGGGTAAGCTGTCTGGGGGATGAAGAGGACAGGAAAGGGTGAAGGGAGCGACTTCCTTGCCGCCCTTGGTGCCCAACCCCGGGTTCTGGGAGAGCCACAGTGGGAGCGAGGGTGCAGGCAATTAGCGGGGAGGGAGGATTTTCAAACTGTAAACACAGACGCCACCCAGAGTTCCGATCTCGTCTAGCTACCGGATTTCCGTGCCGAACCGAAGCCACCCCACCCATGCGTCAACCCTCAGTTTCCATAGCTCTGTAATGGGGGTACACCATCTACTTTCTTTGGTAACTGCCAGACCTAAGCCCGTGAGAAAGGGGAGAAGGAGCCCCCAATGTTGGCCTCAAGCCCCATCAAGTCCTCCTCCCACTTTGGCTTTGGCCTTTTGTACCGGCCCCACGTGACCCTCCCGGCCGGCTCTTCCCTCCTGCCCCGCCCCGCCCTCCGGCCTTTCCCGGCGCTCGGCCCAGCTCTTCCCGCTCTTCGGCCGCCCCCCACCTGCGCTCTCGCGTCCTCCTCCCCCCCCCCACCCCGCCTCTCGCCCAGGCTGTTCCCGCTCCCTCCCCGAGGCAGCCGTTCCCTCGCGACGCTTCCCCTCCCCCCGCGGCTGTTCCACCGCCTCGTCTCCCCTCCCCCCGGCCGGAGCTCACTGTCTCCAAGATGGCGGCCGTGTCAGTTTGGGGCATCTCCGCGGTCCGGCCCGGGGCCCCGGGATCCCGGCTCTCTTTCCCTCCGGTAAGTAGCCGAGGGGCCACCCCCGACCTCCCCTTGCCTCCGAACCCGAAGCTGAACCGCTCCGGGGACTGCTCTACTGCCTCGCGGGGTCGGCGGGCTGCTGCAGGCCCTGCCGCGGCCTGCGCCGCCTCCCTCTGCTCTGCGCCAGGCCTCGGGCCGGGGCGCCGTGGCCGCCCCTTCGCGCCCGGCCGGCGCCCGGCTTTCCCCGCCCGGCCCGCGCGCTGCCGGCCCGCCCCGCGCTGACGGTCCGAAGCCCCAATCCCCGCGGCGTGTCCCAGCCCGGGGAGCCGGCGGGTGGGCGGGCGGCGAGCGGCCAGGCCTCGGAGCCTCGGGCTGGGCTGTGCTAGGAGCCCGCTCTCCCTCGGGGCGCGCCCACCGCCGGGTCCCACCTGCGCCCGACCGGTCGCCGCCTCCTGGCCGGCGCGGCCCCTCAGCCCGCGCTCCCGGGCGCGCACTCCGCCCTGCCCGGTGCGCGGAGACCAGAGCCGGGCCGAGGCGGCAAGTGGGGTGACAGGCTGGCGGGTGTTGTGGTGCGGAGGAGGCAGCACGTGTGGTGTTGTGTCTGTCGGGCTGTCAGCCCCGGCGCCCGCCGGAGGGGAGGCGACAGGCTGCCTGTCAACCCTCGGCGGTCTGGACCGGAGCTTCCCGACCTGTCAGGCTCTCGCGGCTGCCTGCGCGCCCCTCACACCTCGGTTTAGCTGGCCTCTGTGGAGCTCAGTATTTGGAGGAGCTGGGAACTGGGGATACAGTACTCTTAACTCCACGTGATTTCATTGTTAACTTATTCCTGGGGTTCTGTTTCCTTCTAATGGAAACGGGGAAGTAGCCCATTGGCAAACTGTCGGGTTGTGCTGTTTGAAGTTTTTAAAGTTTCTCGCTCTTTAAAAAGAAAGCGCGAAGATGTGTTTGGGGGTGGGGAATGGGGACCGGGAAGGAATATCGGAAGCCAGTTGCGTTTGCTTTCTAGCAGCTGGTGTACTTTCTGAGAGTTAAAGTTCGAGCACAGCATTTTACTTACTTTCTACAGACATAGAGACTGATGAAAACGCCTGCTCGAGAGACAATGAGTGGCTGTCATTCATTCTTTACTTGAGAACTTCATCAATTAGGACGTTCTCAGCGTCTTAAACTCAGGTTGTAGTTTCTTGTTTAGCTTAGCGTTAATGTCTATGTAATGAACTTTCTTGGAATAATAAGACTCTGATTTGTTTCCTTTTGAGATCTTTACCAAAATGAAACATAGGTCTTAGGTTTTTTTTTTAAGTCAGCTTATTTTAAAGTAAAATTTTGGCACATATTTGAATGTTTTGCTTCAGCCTTTGCTTTCTTATCAGAGTTAATAGTGCTCTTTCCTAATGTCTATTAGTCCCTCCCCTGTCTATTAGCCCCGCCCCCTGCCCGTGTCTCCCCCCCCCCCCCCCCCGCGCTTTTTTTTGTACTGGGGATTTAACCCAGGGACAGTTTACCACTGAGCTACATCCCCAGCACACCCCGCCCCTTTAAAATAATAAAAAAAAAAGTATTTATTTTTTAGTTGTAGGTGGACACAATATCTTTATTTCAGTTTTATGTGGTGCTGAGGATTGAACCTAGGGCCTCATGTGTGCTAGGTAAGCACTCTACCACTGAGCTACAACCCCAGCCCTGCTTTTTTAAAACAATTTTGAGACAGGATCTCACAGATGCTGAGGGCCTCTCCAAGTTGCTGAGGCTGGCCTTGAACTTGTGATCTTCTTGTCTCAGACTCCCCAGCCGAACTTGTGCGCCACCGTGCCTAGCTTTCCTTTTGATTTTAATGTTACTATTAAGAATAGTTGCTGCAGGAGCTATTTTTCTACTATTGTTATAATGTGTGTAAATTATCCGTACAATAAAAGCAGAAGTTCTAAAAAACACTTAAGAAAAGTTAAACTTCGTTTGGGGGGCAAAGAAGATATTTAGGTTCATAATTCATTATTTTAGTGATTTTTAACAAATGCCCATTTGCCAGTTTCCTTTGTAACAGAATATCGACTTTGACCCAGAGAGGCAATCTATTTGCATGTTTTGTTTTACTCATTATATTCATTTTCAGACAGCAATCTTGAATTTATATCTTTATCAGATTCACTTCTTTCTAGACCCACAAATAGTTTTTTTTTTTCCTGTTCTATACATTTGGTATGCAATACATGCACTTGTTCCCTATGATTCTGGGCTTTTCTCATTTCTAGTTTCTCTGTCTGTAGATGGCTTATAAACAGTTTTGCAGGTGTTAGTTCCTCCAGCATGTGAATATTAGTGTCTTAGTTTGGGTCAATCAGCATGTATTTCTTAAAATTTGGATGAAAATGGATTATTTTAAAATTCTTTAAGCACTTTCATACTAGGTAATTTTCAATGTAATAAGGTAATAATGTACTTATGAACTTGTCCTGTGAAACTTGCATTTATTATTTCTTTTAATATCCGAAGTAGTTAGATTTTTCTCAGTGGTTTTCTGCCTATCTTATTTGACTGTTTTTTTTTTTTTTTTGTTTGTTTGTTTTTAATCTACTGTCTGGAATTTTGAAAGATGAAAGATTCACTCTTACTTTCATTACAGGATTCTTTCTACTAATCCAGATACTTGTTGAAGTGCTGAATAGTTTCTTGGGGAAAGATGTCAAGCAAGAGTTGAAATTCATAGACTGGTGAGCAGAGATGGCGGAGTACAGGATAGCTATCACTCCTCTGGTTAGTTGTAGCCTAAGGTCATTCGTAGAACATCCTGTTTTGTTTCCTCATTGTGTTATATCTACTCATCTCTGTTTTTTCTTTTTATCCCAATGATTTACATACATGGTTGTTTTAGAATGTTAAACACTTTGCTATTTGATTGCTTTAAAAGATTCTAACATTTCAATTATAACATATTTCTAGAATGGGCCTTGATAGAAAATTAACATTGTTTTGTTTTTCAGGCATAGGATGCACATTTTTGCTGTGAACCCTGAGAATGAGATGTATGGAGTCCTTGCAACATTATGAAGAGATCCATGTTTGATACTACTGAGAAACTGGGAAGTTTGAAGACATTTCTAATAACCAGTTGTTTTGGTTTCTAAAGTAAAAGTGGGAATGCAGTCTGTTTTGTGAAAGGAGGAAGGACTCAGGCCAGAAAACCTGTATGCTATGGTTAACTGGTTCCCAGCCTCCGAAAATCTTGTTTTCCATGGTGTAACACTTACTCAGCATCAGGATAAGGGATAACGACTCTATGGATATACAAAATCCTTCACCATGGTAAAACTCGCTAACCCGCTGTATACTGAGTGGATTTTGGAAGCCATCAAAAAAGTGAAGAAGCAGAAACAACGTCCTTCAGAAGAAAGGATATGCAATGCAGTATCTTCATCCCATGGCTTGGATCGGAAAACTGTTTTAGAACAATTGGAGTTGAGTGTTAAAGATGGAACCATTTTAAAAGTTTCAAACAAAGGACTCAATTCCTATAAAGATCCTGATAATCCTGGGCGAATAGCACTTCCTAAACCTCGAAACCATGGGAAATTGGATAATAAGCAAAATGTGGATTGGAATAAACTGATTAAACGGGCATTTGAGGGCTTGGCAGAGTCTGGTGGCTCAACTTTGAAAAATATTGAACGCTTTCTGAAAAGTCAGAAGGATGTGTCTGCATTATTTGGAGGCAGTGCTGCCTCTGGCTTTCACCAGCAGTTCAGATTGGCTATCAAACGCGCCATTGGTCACGGCAGACTCCTTAAAGATGGACCTCTTTATCGGCTTAACACTAAAGCAACGAATGCTGATGGGAAAGAGAGTTGTGAGTCTCTTTCTTGTTTACCTCCAGTGTCACTGCTTCCACATGAAAAGGATAAGGTAAGAATGGTATATGCATCAGTGTTCATAGAGCTCATGTTATAGGATGCCACAAATTCACATTTCTAGGAAGTTTGAAGTTACATTCAAGTTTGGGGAACTTTTATGGAGTGATCCTGCTATTTTTTAATTTATAAGTTCTAACTGTGAGAACTTAATAGATGCTAATTGTTCTGATACTTTGAAGTTTTTGAAGCCTAAGATTCAAAGTGTAGAGTGTTGATCTACCTTAAAGGACATAGTTGTATTATAATTTAAAAGTGGCATGCAGCTTTAAACTTTTAATTTTTTCTTTGTGGTACTGGGATTGAACCCAGGGTTGTTCTACCATTGAGCAGCCCTTTTTATTTTGAGACAGGGTCTCACTAAGTTGCCCAGGCTGGCCCTGAACTTGTGATTGTCCTGTCTCGGCCTCTTGAGTAAGTGGAATTACAGTCATATGCCATCATGCCCTGCACAACTTTAAAAGTTTTAAGTAAAAAGATTCTTACAGTACCTTATTTCTGGAAGTTGATGAGCAGCCAATGCCGGTGACAGGAATTTGGAAGAAGCAGATGAACCCCCCCCCCCCTTGTTTTTTTCTTTTTTCCGTTTTAAGTTGTCACTAGACAGGAATGAGATGGATTCTCATGACCCATAGCATGAGCTAAGCAAATTTAACAATTCATATTTCTATTGTTTACATTATAACTTTCTGTTATGTAATATGGCTTTGATGATGATGATGATGATGTCCTAAATATTATTATTTATGACAGCTACAGTTACATGTGACAGGACTATAATATCCTATATTAGAAAGGTTCCAGAGAGTTGGGAATTTTACTGCACAGATGGAATACTTACTCTGTTGTGTGTTATTCTGTTATGTTGTGTGTCTGAAAGTATGTCTTTTTAACAATAAATTTTGGCCTTTAAATTTGGGGATGATAAGAATTTTATTAGTTGCTATTTTTTTAATTGAACTACTGTTTTAGCTGCTCTGAATTGTTCTTTGGAGATAGTACTTTAAGTTGTTACACCTTTGTGTATATTAGTAACCTTTGTTTTACTTAAGATCATGGAGCTATTTTTACTATGAAAGATTGTATGTATTTGAAAATATTTTGAGATTTTTATTATTGTCATTATGTCTGTAGATTTTTGTTCAAATAACAATTGAAAATTAATAATACTGTTCTTCAGTGAAATTCTTAGAGATCTATTTTAGGGTTCAGTTTTTCCTGTGAACTTTTCACAGGTCAAGCATCCATAGTCTGAAAGGAGCTCCACCACTGAGTTATAACACCAGCCCCAGATATTTTAATTTTAAAAATACTAGTCACACTTAAAATGTCAGAAGTGTATATTTTTAAAAGATAGTCAATTTGGTTAAATACAAAGTAAGTTCAAGTTCTAGATCCCTAGAACTTTGGTTTTGGAAGTGACCTTGAGAACCATCTAACAATCCTCATTTTGCCACAGAGCTGGGGACCTCTGCTGAGGCCATTGCACAGTATCTTTGCATTAAAAAAAGTTTAATTCAGTAGAATTTTGCTTTGGTTAGGAATACCTGTATGGCTACATAGCTCAAATATGTAGTATAGTTAACTGAAGTTACCAAATTTGGGATATAAATTTGGGATATAAAATGGAGTTTCTTTGAGTAGACTTCTATGTGTACTGATCTCATTGGATTTCATGATAATAATTATGAATTTGGAGTTTATGAGATCTGTTCTATTTTTTAAAATGAAATCTTATTTGCAGTAGTGAATTTCCTGACTTTCCCCCAAAATGTGAAAAACCCACATTCAGAATCATAATACAGTGAACTCTGGGGGAATTATTTCACCTTTGAACTGGTTATATATATCTGTTCCTCTTATTGTTATTTTGACCAGTTTCCTTCCTCTCCTTGAAACTACCTAATCACTTCCTATTAGGAATTGATTGACTTGTGGTTATGAACCTATATAGTTTCAACAGGAAAAGCAAAAGAAAAAAACTGGAGTGTATTTGACAGTGATGGAGAAAGGAAGGTATAGGCTAGAAGTAGTTTTACTTTTCGACATTCATTAATCTAGCACATAGTTGTTGAGCACCTACTGTGACCCAGGCACTCTGCTTGAAACTGATTTGGCTTTATTTTCTCTGGAATGTTAATATTATCTATTGGTCTGGTCATCTGTTGGGTAAGAGATGAAATTCAAGGACTATTTGGAGTGACCTGAGTAAGTTTCTTTTTACTTTTTCCTGTTCTAACTGTTCATTTTGTGATATTAATCTTTGGAAGGAACTATGATTGTATTTAGATTTTCAGCATCTAAGAGGTTTTTGTTTTTTAGGGGGAGAATATGTAGAATATTCTTAAGAGGTGTTAAAGTCTCTTGAAGTTTAGTATTATTTTACATTGAAAAGTAGTGAGGAGAACCTGTGGTATACTGTGATTTAAAAGTTTTATCCATGTTATATGGGGAATTTATGAGCTAGCTTTAGGTATGATAGTTTATGGTGAGGTAGTTTATTTAACCTAAATGAGTGTTTACTATATGCAAGGCATTAATTTAATACTGTTCAGTAGTTCCTTTTGTCTATGGGGTTCACTTTCCAAAACCCCTGAAACTAAAATTTGTATTAAACCCTATGCAGATGGTCCTTGACTTACCATAATTTGACGAATTTTCTATTTTGACAATGTCTTGAGTGGGATTAATTGTAAATGTGGTTAGGAATTTGACTCAGCAGACTTGTTCTTTTTTTTAAAAAAAAAAACAACTCATTTAATGATGCCCGTTCAGTAGAAAGTATACTTTGAATTTTGAATTTCAATCTTTTCCTAGGCTGTGGGTTACAATACTGTGTTGTAATGCGGAGTGGCAGCTTATGCCCTAGCTCCCAGTCAGCCAAGTGATGCTGCAGGGAAACAACTGATACTCTATAGTGCATTGTGTTGCTAAAGTGTCTTGTTTGGCAGGTTAGATATATGAAATGCATTTTAAATTTACAGTATTTAAATTTACCATTGGCTTATAGGGACTTTAATCCCCATTGTAAATTGAGAAGTGTCTGCATGTACTATCTTTTCTATACAACCTATGATAAAGGTTTATTTATAAATTAGGCATAGGAAGAGATTAATAGCAATAATTAATAATAAAATAGACCAATTATAACAAAATACTATAATAATGTTATTTAAAATTTATGAATTATTTGTTTCTGGAATTTTCCATTTAATATTTTGGGCTGCAGTGGATGATGAGGAACTGAAACTGCAAAAAGCAAAACAGTGGAGAAAGGGGGACTAATGTATACCTGTTAACTCATTTCATCCTCATAAAGCTAACATTGATATGTACCAACAGTGAAGTTGGTTCTGTTGTTTTATAGTTGAAGAAAATGAGGCATAAAAGAGGTTCAATAACTTGTCCACGTAACACTAATATGATTGATGTCCCAGCAAAGCTGGGATTTGAACTTTGGCAGTCTGGCTCCAGAGTCTTTGTATTTGCAACAGGTATACCTATCACCTCTGGAGAGTCATATCTAAATATTTATCACAGCACTAAAGTATAGTCATGTTAACATTAACTGATACCCTCTTCCCCTCTTTTGCTGTTTGTGACCCTTATTTTCTTTTTCTGTTGTGGAACAGATTTCAAAACTGACTTAGGACTATTAATATTAAGAATGTATCAGGAACCAAAGATTATGAATAAGCTAGTTTATATACTTGAAGTTCAGAAAACATAATTTTCATCAGTGTGAAATTTTTATTTTTTCTTAAAGGTGATTTCTGTGCTTACTAATTTTCATTTCAATTGTTGCTAAAGTTTTCTGACTTGGGGATTCGTCACATGACTGTAATAGGGTGGTTTAATTTGGGGCAAAATATTGTGTTTCTTGAGTTATGGGATTTAGGAAACGAAGATAGTGTATAATTGCTTAAATAGCTACTTCTTATACATTTCTTTTTGAAATGTAGATATTACTATAAGATAATTTGTTCATTTCACATATTTGTTGTTCAGCAAACATTTGAATGCCTGCCATCTGTAGTGCGTGTAGGATTTAGGTCCTTTGAGTGATTAAGGCAGATAGAATACAGATAGGAAATACACTTTTGGGGAACCCCATTTTAGATTATAAAATATAACTAAGAAGACATTTAGGATTGTTTTCTCATAACATTGAGGCTTTAATCTTTGAAAAACAATAACTGTGTTTTTGGGTTAAATCCCACTACCCCATTCTGGGGATTGAACCTGGGGTGCTTTACCACTGAGTCACATTTCCAGCCTTTTAAAAAGTTTTGCAGTGGGCTTTCAATTGCTAAGGCTTGCCTCCAGCTTGGCCATCCCTTCTGACTTAGCCCTGGAGTTGCTGGGAGTTATAGGCATGCACCACCATACTTCTCTTGGATTAACCTTAATATTACTTGAGATTGTACTAGTTTATTTAAGAAATATATTTCTACACTGGTTGTGGCTTCATTTTACACACTTAGAATAATTTATTTGGATATATTTATACACACATGTACATACATAAGTATATGTGTGTGTATAGTTTATGTTCCATATTACTAGGTCCAGAAAATAGAAAAGTATACTTTTATGATAATCATCTAAATCATTAAAATTTATTCTGTGGAATATTTTGAAACAGAATTATAATTTACTAAAACGTTCTGTTGGAAAGAGAAAATGAGGTATTGACAACTATATTTTTGTTTAGTTACTACCTAGCTAGGTAATCTGGAGTAGATTAAGTGATACATCTCTTACCTTCTATTATAATACATTTTATTACAATGATCTCTTGGTAGAGTCGAGTCCAGATTATTTAGTTTTACTGGAATATGTATTTTATTTTTGGTACCAGGGATTAAACCTAGGGATCCTTAAGCACTGAACCACATCCCCAGTCCCCCTCACCCTTTTTTTTTTTTTTTTAAACATAGGGTATCATTAAATTGCTGAGGCTGGCTTTGAATTTGTGATTCTCCTCCCTCAGCC